AAGGGGTGCACGGGCCAGTCATGTGAGATCACCACAGAAGGCTGACAGTCCGTACATAGCATGACAAATGCTACCTGGAGCAGCTGANCGGTCATGTCGTCCATCTTGAGTTGACCATGCCGGAGCATGTCTTCGGCAGCCGTGGCCAGCGCGTGTGCACGCTGTATCTCACCGCTAGCTGTGAGATACAGCACAAAGAAGCGAGTGAGGGAACATACCACGGGCTTGACGGGAAGGCCTCGAGCGTGCTCGCCAGTGCAAACCTTGGAGCTGAATGGCTAGCTCTCGCGCACTCTGGGCCCATGCGCGGACCGTCTCGATGCGCTGCAGCTCCAGGCTTGGATCAACAGAGATGGTTTGTACAATGCCTTCGTCCACCGTCACTAAAAGCGGTGGAAAGGAACAGGAAAATCATTCACCAGCGTCGGGCTGCTAAACAGGGATGGCAGTTTGAAGGCCTAGTGCCTTCCATGCGTCTTGGAAGCATTTGGCAAGATGGGGGTGGGGGGTTGAAACACATACGTCGATTATCATGAAAGATTTCCCAAAAGCGATGCATTTTTCGTGCATCCAAAAAATCAGGAGTGTCGTCGCACTTCACAAAGCGCTGCCACTCTTCTTGGCCGTCGGCCTTGCGCTAAGCACAAGTCATGCCAGTGTAAGCACACACGCGAGCGTGCCGAGGGCTGAGCAAGAAGCACAGCCGCAAAGAGAAAAACAACCAAGCCGCGCAATCACACCTTGTGCACACGGCAAGACTCTTGCAATCGAGCGAAGAGCTCCTGGACCGCATTGGCCTGGTGATGACAACGGGGAGCAAGGAGGACGAGGTGAGCTTGTCGACATCGAGATGCTTCAAACGGAGTGGGCAGGAGCGCTGCTCAGCAGAAGGATCAAAGCCAGGCGTCAAGTGCACCTGCTCGCTGAAGAGTTCGGCATTTTCCGCAAAGTAGGCAAGGCGTTCCTGCTCCTGCGCTCTGTTGGTGTCAACAGGCGCAGCAAAGGGCAGAGCAGGGTGGACGTGAAGCCTAGGGAACAATCACAAACGGACACGTGCAGCATGGTCCAACGTACGCTTTGGCGTCTGCCTCAAGGCGCGTTGCGGCACTGGCGGCGCGTTGCTTCTCCAGTTCTACGCGACAACCACCCGCGATGGAGTGTATGAGAGGCCATACGCCTGCAAACACGGATCGCGACCCGGGGCCAACCTACCTAGGTCTGCAGCCTCATTCTTGGGTGCACCCTTGCCCTTGGGTTTGGGAGGCTACCATGCCGTTCATTACACATGCGATGGTAAGCAGACACAGCTCAATGGTGATACTGGACCGCGAAGAAAGAGGAAACGGTCTTCCAGCAAATCGCAAGGCTTTGTCAAGCATCCCAAGTGAAGCGAGAGAGCCCAGGCTCACCATGATGTTGGCAAGTACCCGGCTTGCGCCTGTCCTGTCTTGCCGGCCCCAATACTCTTGCCCGGCGTGAAGGACCACAGCTCTCCTAAAATCAACTGTCAAGCTCTTGCCGCCCTCCGTTAAGATTGAGATCGTCGGGACGCCACAGCGTGACTGCTGCCCGCTGCCGTTCCGAATCGTGCGCTGCGAGAGAGAGAGAGAGAGAGAGAGAAATGCTGCAAAAAGTTGGTTGTCAAGTCGTTGTTCGCAACTATAGTTGACAACTGGTCCGAGTTCACCTTTTGACAAGCACCACATCTCATCTGACAACTTCCAACGATATTGCGACGATTACTTCCTTTTGATCCCCATTGCCTTCTTCAATAACTCCCCGAATCGCAACGCGTACTGCCAAATGGGCGGGGTCTTGCTGAGTTGGACACTTTGTCACGATAAATCAGTACGCGCCCGTGTGTGTGTGTGCGCGCGCGCGCTTGTCCCGTCGGGTGTGTGTGTGTGTGTGGCAGCGCCTGGGCGGAGGAAGGGGAGGAGTCAGAGGGATGAAGGGAGCTGGCAGGGCGGGAACGGGAAAAAGGCTCGCTGGTTTGGATTGTCGCCCTCTGTATTGACGGCAACGGGGCGAGCGAGGACTTGGTGACATCAAGGCTGTGAGCGCATTGCACCCTGCCCCAGCTTCAGCTTGACAAATCGCTGTGGCAGTGGTGATGCTGCAACCCGCTATCCTTGTCGTCTGTTCCGAGGAGCGGCAGCCCTGTGGCTCGGGATGAATATTTGCTCTAGCATGCCGTTCTTCTTCTTCCTCCTCTTTTTCTTTCGATCGTTGTTTGCACTTATTCTTGGGATGCTGCTGCTTGGCACACCCAATGACTCAGCTCACTCGCGTGGCGCTGACTGTGCTTCAATAATAGATCGACAAGACTTGTGCGACGTGTTTTGGGCAAATCACTACTCCCTGAGTACTGCCCGTGTTCAACAAGAGCCTCGCCCATCCCCTCGCCCATCCTTGCCATGGCTGTGCGTGCTGCTGCTGGTCAATTCGATGCCCCGATCGGGGCCTCGGGTGGCCCAGGTCGCAAGGGCCGCAGGTGTGTATACGAACCGCGTCGCCCGGCCCTGTGCTACAGAATCCTACTGTTGCTAAATTTGTGTGACGGGTGGCTGTGGCCCTTGTCTGTACTTTGGCAGCTATGATCTCGCCAACACCAACATTGGCAACCTTGGCACTGATTTGGAAAAGGCTGTGCGCCAAGCCGCTGCCGAGCATGAGGAAGCGGTACGCCCTAACACCACCACCCAAACTTTGGGCTGTCAGCCCTGCTCAAGCTCCACCCGTGTCTTTGATCCCGTCCCGCTCTCTCTTTTCTGCGCACTGATGTTCCGCTCGCCCTGTTGACCTGGCAGTGGAAAAACGCCGGTGACAAGCCTGGCATCGAGATCTGGCGCATTGAGCAATTCAAGGTCCGCTCGCTCAGCATTATGCAACCTGACCGAGTGAGATGCATTTGGGGTTCAAAATTCGACCGACCTTATTTCTCTCTCTCCCCCCCCCTTTCTCTCTCTCTTTCTCTCTCTCCCTCTCTCTCTCTCTCTCTCTCTCTCGCTCTGCGCACACGTGCATGCGGGTCTTTAGGTTGTGCCATGGCCCAAAAAGTCCTATGGGAAATTTTACAGTGGTGACTCGTACATCGTCCTCCACACGTACCGCAAGAACGGTGTTGGGGCCAAGAACTACGACGTTCACTTTTGGATCGGTTCGTCTCTGATATCTTCCCTCACTGGCTGCTTGGGTTGATCCAGGCCTGCCCATCCCTTGTCATTTTCACTGCTCAATGTTGCTTGCATTTCGCTAGGCAAGGACTCGACACAGGATGAGTATGGCACCGCGGCATACAAAACGGTCGAGCTGGATGACTTGCTGGGTGGCATTCCCACGCAGTACCGTGAAGTTCAAGGCAAAGAGTCGCGTCGCTTCAAAAAGCTCTTCAAGCGTCTGATCTTCATGGAGGGTGGAGCTGATTCCGGCTTCAATCACGTGGAAGAGAAGACCTACCGTCCGCGCCTCCTTCAATGCAAGGGGAAGATGCACGTCGTTTGCCGTGAAGTTCCTCTCAGTTACAAGAGCCTCAACGCTGGTGACTCGTTCATCTACGATGGAGGTGATCGTATCTTCATTTGGAACGGCCGAGAGGCCGGAGCCATGGAAAAGGCCAAGGTGCGCCGCCAATGAGACCCTCATTGCCAGCAACAACCTCCGTGGAACATTGCTTGCTTGCACTAACATTCACTGTGTTCTGGCAGGCTTCAAACCTGGCCCAAGCCTTGGATGATGAGCGAGGTGGCAAGCCACACCGTGAGGTGTTTGATCAGGATGGCCGCAACCTCAAAGAGTGGTGGCACGCCATTGGTGGCGAAGGCACCGTCATGTCTGCCGAAGAGGGCGGTTCAGACGAAGATGTCAAACCCGGTGCGTGCTTGAATAGTAGGCCTTCCTTTTGCGCGAGCTCTCCTGACTGATCACGGAGTGTACTCGCCCTCTGACCTTTGGCATTGTAACCCACATTTTGCAGAGGAAAAGCGTCTGCTGCGCGTGAGCGATAGCAGCGGCCGGCTCAAGATGGTGGGTCACCAGCGAAATCCCCCACACGTGTGGCCAAGAGGGGCTCTTTTCACCAATGCCGCTACCTCTGTGCCCCTCGTTGCATAGGATCTTGTGGCTACTGGCGAGCAAGTCGTGCGCTCGCTGCTCAACCCTTCGGATGTCATGATCCTTGGTGCGAGGGCTTTGGCCGCTGGTGCCTCCTTGTATTGATCTAACTCGCTCAGCTCACATGCTGCGCATTTTGACCGACAATGCGACGGTGATGCTTTGTAGACGATGGCATGGAAGTGATGGTTTGGGTTGGCCAGGGTGCATCGATCGCGGAGCGAAAGAACGTGCGTAGCTCCAATCGTTTTGACTGTCTCGGATACCTGCACTGGGTAATTGTCAAGCTTATCTGGCTCGTATCCATGCCGCCTTGTGTCGCCGCCGCCAGGCGCTCAATTTTGCAGTTGAGTACTTGAAGCAGTACAACAAGCCACTGGACAGCCCCATCGCCCGTTATATGGACGGTGGTGAAAACGATGCTTTTGAGGCGGCCTTTGAGCAAGGCGTCATGTCCATGGCCCGGCCGGGTGATGGCAACGTCAAGTTCTCCGTACGTTAAGGCACGACCAGCCATACCCACTGTGGCTACAGTCGCTCTGAACTGATTGCCCTGTGACCATTTCCAGGCCAACATCTCCAAATTTCAGGGTCATACCAAAGCTGTGGGCCAAAGCATGATGGGAAGCTACCAAGGTGCTTTGCTGCGCAATCCTGCCATCCAAAGTCCCATTTGTCTGTCATTGCCGGCTTCCCGTCGGAAAGCACTGAGCTTTTGTGTGAAAAAACTTCTTTCTCGGTGTCCTTTAAACGGACATCCCAGGCTGACTTGCAAAACTGTTGTCTCGAATACCATCTCTAGGTTCAGGTGGCCCGGGCGTGACCGCCGACCTCGATGCCGCCTATGCGTACGTTCTCTTTGGTTTTTAGACACCTGTCTCATGACATCCCAGTGTGTTGGAGAGGGCGCTCAAGGTTTACTGTACGACAAATGCCATTGGCCACGCAGAGATCCTGGAGCAGATCCCAGCGCATGGCAAGGCCGCGGTCAGGCCCAATCATCCTACGCCCAGGTTTGTGAAGCAAATTTTATTCAAACCTGGATTTCCGTTGCCGGCCATACCCCGCGTTGCTTTCTACTTTTGTGCCATGGTTGTCGTGCCTTGTCTTCTCACATGAGATTGCCCTGGGATATTGCAGGAACTGCAAGCAGCAGGAGCTGGAGCTTACGACCCCAAGTCAGGCTGGGTGTCGGGCCTGGTAAGCTGTGGTTGGCCTCACCTTTGCATTTTGCGTTATCACCCCTGCCTGAACGTGGCTACCCTTGCGTGATCTTACAACTACCGAACCATCCTGGTTGTGGCCTCAGTCGGCTGAGCAGCGAGCTGCACGCGACTCGCATATCGCAGAATTGGAACGCGATCACAAGTCCGGCAAATACTCCAAGGGTGCGTTTGCTGATTGGCATAGCAATCCTGCAAGCATCGCTAGCTGTCCGCCTCATACAGCTGCTGCTCCACCACGCTGTGATTTCGTCTGCTTGGCAGCTGGTGCCTTGGGCACGTCGCTATCTGGAGGTCGTCTCGGCGATGCTGACGATCGTCGCCCCACCATCACCACCCACAGCGAGTTTGACGTGGACAAAGATACCAAGGCTGTTCGCAAGGCCATCAAGGGCTGGGGTATGTTTTTGTGTTTTGTTTAGTTTTGTGTGCCATTTGTTCTTGTGGTTTTCCCGTTTGACGATGAGTCGAACCGCACAAGAAACTGACTCACCTGAATGTGGCATGCTATGGCAATGTTCTGCGTGCCTGGCATGCAGGCACCAACGAAAAGACCTTGATTCGCATCTTTGGTCGTCGCACGCAGAAGGAGCGTGACCAAATCCGCGTGCAGTACTCTAACCTGTACGTTGTTTATGTAATCCTGAAGCCACCTGCCTTGGTATCGAAGAAAGAGGCGAAGGATTTTTTTTTTTTTTTTTTTTGTTTTTTTTTTGTTTTCTGGTGGGGTTTTACCAATTGTTTGTAATGACTCAAAACTCAGATGTATGGTTTGCATTTGTCCAGGTTTGATCGTGATTTGATCAAAGATTTGGATGATGATACCAGTGGCAACTTTGCCAAGGCACTCGTGGTATTGCCAGCGCCCACCCGTAGAATTTTTGGGACAGAACTTGCCCAGTACACTTGCTCGCCTTTGTTGATACATTGTTGTTTTGTGTTTGACTTTGGCAGGCGTTGGCGCGCAAGGCGGTTGAGCGCGATGCCCACTTTTTGCACCGAGCGTTCAAGGGTTTTGGCAACGACAATGAGATGCTCATTGATATTCTGTGCACCAAGGTCAGTTTTCGCTTCCTTGGAGGCTGCGATCGACGCACGATGACGACATACGCCCGCCTCAACAACCGCCTGCCCTTGTGGCAGAACACTCAATATCTTCGAGAAGTCAACACGGCTTACAAGACCGTGACCGGCGATCGCATGCTGGTCGAAGGTATGTGTGCAAGCGCAAGGCACCCCTCTATCGTTACGATCTACCCTGTTGTTGTTTGATGCGTGGCTTTAATACATACCTCCTTTATTCTCAAACGTGAACGATAGACATCACGGGCAACACCAATGGCCATTATCGCAAGGTCAGTGCCAGCACCTTTTACCCACCAACCGGTCCACCTGCTCTACACCATGCTTGTCTGCCCCTACTGGAGCACATGCCCTATAATGTGTTTGCGTACTGCTGTGCCTCCTCCCTGATCTCCCCAACTCTGCCACATGCACCATTTGCCGTGCGCAGCTGCTCCTGGCGCTGGTAGAGAAGACCCGTTCCCCCGATGGTGTCAGCGTGAACCAAGCCGCTGTCGAGGCCGATGCGGAGGCTTTGTACAAGGCCGGTGAGAAGCGCTGGGGTACGAATGAAGACAAGTTTGTGGAAATCTTCACTGAGCGCAGCTATGCACAGCTGGCAGCCATCTTCCAAGAATACAGCAAGGTATGAGCCCAAATGCTTTTCTAGACCTGTCGCCTGTTGCAACAAGAAGAGACTTTTTTCAAGCATGCAAGGTAGCTGTAATTGTGAAGCGTCCTGCTTCTCACACATGGGGGCTGGTCGTCGTGCATTGGGGTGGAACATGCAGCTGTGCAAGTATGACATTCGCGAATCAATCAAGCGCGAGATGAGTGGTAACCTCAAGAAGGGTCTGCAGACCATTGTGGACGTTGTGCGCGATCCCCTCGGTGAGCAGACTGCGCTGGTGACTCTTTTTGATATGTGGCGCGTGACATCGTGGCTCGAAACCTCTCGTGAACATGTTTGTGCATTGCACGCTATTTCGAGCGACAGACTTTTACACCACCAAGATCTACGAGTCGATGCATGGTTTGGGCACCAACAACACGCATTTGATTGAGCTGTTGATCGAGCGATCAGAGGTTGATCTGGAGGCCATTAAGGTCAGTTAGCACACCGGCAGTGGCGCACAAGCGCACAAGAATTCTTTTTTGGTCCGTGTGCTTCTATTCTGTGTAAATAACGGCGGTGCGATCTGGTTTGAACTACAGGAACGCTTTCAACAAAAGTATGGCAAGACGCTGTTGGAGATGTTCGACTCGGAAACGGCCATTCGCTGTGCGTTTCAGCGTTCCTGCGGGCAATTGCTTGGTTTTTTTTTTTTTTTTTGTATCGTTCCCTCTTCCACTTCTTCTTCCGTGAGCAGCCATGATCTCAGCCACTCAACCACTTTTTGTGCCTGGTGCACACAGGGAACTACCGTCGCTTGCTGACCGCTATCATCAACGAGGGCGATCACAAGGAACTGTATGACGAGGATAACCAATGAGGGTCTACCTGAGCCCGTGTCCATTCTGCATGTCTTTTGAACAGCTATACAGTTGTACAGCCACGCTTTCCTCGCCCCATGCTTGATTGCCAGCAGCCGCTCCAGTTGAAGGACCCGAGATATCTGCGGCTTGCTCGAATCAGTTGCAATTATTCATTGTCAGATATAAGAAGGAAATCAGATGCCGCAAACAACAGTACACATGAAAGGCCGGGAGCAACGTGCTCAGAGGGAAGCATGCAGGTTCTAGACTAGCTGAAGGGTTGAGCACGCGACCCCGCTGAGTGTTGTGACGCTAGACAGATCTCGACTCAGTGAGACTGCTCGCCCAGAGCCAGTGCCATGGAAGACTCTATGTCATTAAAAGCATCGAGGAAGGACGCCACCTGTGCATCAGAGGAGGAAGTTGCCCCTGGTGCAGACAAGACATCCAGGCTGCTAGTGGCCGCTGGCTGGGCGCTTGAAGGAGTGTTGACCCTTGCGGGGGTGTCTCCGTGAAGAGCTGTTGCAATCTCGGCTTGAACATCCTGCATCCAACTATCATCACCATCACTGGTAGCAGCAGCCGTGGACGCCTCAACTCGGCCTGGAGAACTCTCAGCAGGCGCCGGCAAGGTGTCAAGAAGCTCGTTCGTCCCGTCGTCAAAAAGGCCCATAGAGCCTGGGCGTTGTGGAAAGATTTCAGCGTCTTCGGCGGATGTAAAGGCGGTATTGGCTTGCCAATTGGCTTGAGCCATTTTTTTGTGGCTTGGCCGGCGAGCCCGCAATTCGACCTCAGATCCTGTGTCCTGGTTCGACGCCATGGGGCGCGCCATACCCAGATCACGCAGAGAGGCGATGGAAGCCATACGATCCCGTGCAGCAGCGATGGCGGGCCCTGCTGTGACTGGGGCTTGGGAAAACGCCTTTTCATTGCTCTGGGACAAGCACCCACCCATGACACCAGATGTGGTGGGAGGAGTTGATGCGCCTGGGCCCAGCGAGCAAGTCAGCTACCCATCTGCGGCTCGTGTGTTTGGCGCCGAGCTTGCCCCGCATGTGATCTATCAAGGGCAAGTGGCCCAAGTTCGCAAACTCAATCAAACCGCGACTCGAGAACCCAGCCATTCCCCAAGCCGCGACTTTACTCACCCCACACACACACGCACACACACACGCACACACCAAGCCTCCTTCCTACCTTCCGCAACTCGCCGTTGCCGTTTGCCGTTTGCTGTTTGCTGTTTGCTGTTGTGTGGGAAATGAGGGCGGAACAAAAGTTGGGTGCAGCCCAAGATATTCTGACATTCTGACATTCTGATCTCTCTCTTCACACACACACTCTCTCTCTCTCTCTCTCGACCAAACTCTCCCGACCAAACTCTCTCTCTGTGGTAGTTGTGCTTTTCCCTTTCTCTCTTTCTCAAACCGACCAAACCAACTCTCTCTCCTCTCTCTCTCTCTCTCTCTCTCTCTCTCTCTCTCTCTCTCTCTCTCTCTCTCTCTCTCTCTCTCTCGCCACTGAACAACAACAAGACAGCTGGCATCATCATCATTTTGTTGTGGACTTACTGTACTTGCTTACTGCTACGACTTCGACTACTTGGTCACATTTTGGATTTGGAGGTGCGTGAGGGTGTCGCTGCCCTGGTGGAGGTGCCGGGCTGGAAATGGTAGTGCCTGGGCTTTGCGAAGACGCTGCATTGAGTTGTGGTCGTGCTGGGCACCGCGCCAATGCTTCGCTTCACACATGCTGGCCTGTCAATGGGTGCCGCAAGTGTGACGAGGGAGGGGCGGGATCGCTGTGGCGCATCGAGCGATGATGCTTGGCTTGACTGACCTGCGCAACCTCATCGACATGAATTTGCCCGCATGCTAGGCGATTAGCTTGCCGACTTCTTGTCGTCATCTTCTGCTCCTGCATCATGTCGATTGATCTCTCCACGAACAGCGCCGAGCTGACGGAAGCGTACAACGCCGTCTGCAGCGACAACGAGACTACCAGCTGGTGCGTCATCAGCTCCCTTCTGGCCCTCTCGTGTGCAAGAGACATGCAAATTGCTTCGTGACAGCTGCTCGCGCTGAGCTCAAAGCATTGTCGGCGTTGGTGCTTGCTCAGGCTCATCGCTGATTACAAGGGCAAGACCGATACCCTGAAGATTTACGACACTGGAGGTGAGCTGAATGATACCGCGGAAGAACCAGTCTGGCGCTCGCTCAGTTTGAAGAGGCTGTTCCATGCTCGCAGATGGTGACTTTGACGAGTTTGCGGAGGAGTTTAATGGCTCCAAAGTTCAGTACGTTGTGTAGCCGGTACCCGAGCGCTTCATCTGTCTGGTCATGTGCTAGCCAATCTACCCTACCACAGTCCCGTTACACTTTTCCTCTTTTCTCAGGCTCCTGCTGCTCTCTGGTCTGGCCCCCACCACTGCTCTAGGTATGGCTTCTGCCGTGTCAAGGACCCCAACACGGGCATTTTCAAGTTTGTCCTCGTAAACTGGTCTGGCGAAGGGGCTCCGGTCCTTCGCAAAGGTGAGTCAAGCCTGGCTTTCCATCCATTGTTCGCAGCATCATGCAGCACCTTGCTCACGCGCTGCTCCTACTTGCGCTCACCTTTGGGTGCTCAACTTGGGAAAATTATAGGCACCTGCGCAAACCACGTGCGGGACGTTGCCAATTTTTTCCACGGTGCCCACGTGACCATCAATGCTCGCAACGAGGATGATCTAGATACTGATACCGTTCTCAAGAAGGTACGCCTCCCGTGATACACGGTTCAAACCGCAACCGCCGTATGCTGACGTTGGTCTTGGGCCAACGCTCATTTTAATCCCAGGTGGAAAAGGCTTCGGGCGCCAACTACAGCAGCCGCGAAAAGGCTCGTCCAGAGTTTGCCAACACCAACACAAGTAAGAGACCTGGTGGTGGCCCCAGCCCTCGCATTGCCTTGTTTTCCATTTTGCGCTGCGATGGGTGGTGCAACCGCACTCTCACTGCACTCTGCACTCTGCTCTGCGCCAGGCGGACCGGTGGGCAGCACCTACAAGAATGCCTATCAAGCAGAGGGCTTGGCCAGTGCGTCAGAGCGTGGCCAGTTTTGGGAGGAACAGCAAGCCGAGGAGCGTGCTCGTGCCGCTGCTCTTGAGGCACAGCAAGCAGAGGAGCAACAGCGCATCGACGCTGAGCGCCGACAGCTCGAGCAACAGAGTGAGGAGCGGCGGGCTGCCATGAATGCGGTACGATTTTTCGATGGTCTTTTTGAGGCAGTGATGTTTGTAAGGGATCAGACCAGTTCGTCCTTGCCTGGTACATTTATGAGGGGACCATATACATTTGTAGGCCAACCCAGAACCCGAACCCGCTCCCGAACCTGCTTATGAGCCAGAACCTGAACCTGCCTACGAGCCCGAACCTGAGCCTGCCTATGAGCCAGAACCTGAACCTGCCTATGAACCTGAGCAAGCGCAGGACGGTGCCTACGAAGCCGAACCCGAGAGTGTTTACGCCGAGGATCTTGGTCTTCGTGCCGTGGCCCTCTACGATTGTACGTCGGTACTCATGCTGCAACCAATGCGTGTCAAATCACTCTTCATCCTTGCGCTTCGTTTTTCATCCAAGCCGCCTCTCCTGTACGCCTCTTCTCATATAAACGTCAATCTGCTTGGTCTGGTTTGCCCCTGTTTCGCCACAGACCAAGCGCAAGAAGAGGGTGAGTTGACGTTTGACCCAGATGACATTATTACCAACATTGATCAGATTGATGAGGGTTGGTGGCAAGGCGCCTTCAACGGCCAGTTTGGTCTGTTTCCTGCAAACTACGTGCAGCTTCTCGAGGATTAAGAGCAAAACCGACGACGCCATCATTGTTTCCTAATCGCGTCCGTACAGCTGTGTATCCACTTGTCGCTCCTTTGTCTTTCTGTTGTCATATCAGAGACACCAATAATGATTCAAAAATTGAACAAATGGTGTGTCCTCTCATGCTTTGAGGTGTCCTTGGACATGTGGATTAGAATTTGCCGCAGTGCTCACTGTTTACGCAGAAAAAAAGAGAGAGAGCGAGAGACATCCCAATCCAGGGGCTCTCATGCGGATGTGTCAAGCGGGTTGTGGGATTAAGGGTGTGGTTTAATGTCGTGAATGCCGAGATCTCACGCAGAAGAGCCCAGTCACGCACTCCACATGACCCAAGCTACTCGAATCTGGGAAATAAAAACATTCACCGTGTGAACGACGAATGAAAAGAGCCTTCATTTCCATCGATCCAAGGCTGTCTTCACAGGATAAGCTTTCCTCTGACTTGACATGCAAAAAAAAAAAAAAAAAAAAAAAAAAAAAAAAGAAAAAAAAAAAAAAAAAAAAAAAAAAAAAAAAAAAAAAAAAAAAAAAAAAAAA